GCTTGGGGGGGGGGGGGGTAAATGTGTCTCTTCACAACTCATGGAAACTCTTTGCAACTCAAAGAACTGGTTGAAGTTACAGTAGCTTCCTGTTCAGGGCCTTTTCAACATGTTTCATTGCTTTCAACTTTGCTGGAGAAGATTTTCCAATGCTCAGCATTTCATCCCCACCGCACAAGGTGTGGTGCAGATGAACTGAAGACTCTTCACTTGAAAGCCTCAGGAAGTCGTGGCTTTAATTTTCCAAACATTCTCTTTTTGCAGACTGCTTGAATTTTTAATAAGTTCAGCTTGAAAAATAAAACTTGTATCCTCGTTCTTTTTTCCTTTACCATCCCCTGCTTTGTAGGAGATGGCGCATTTGATAAAATATTTGGCAGAGATAGGTCTTAATACTCCTACAGTTTGTGGCACAAAGTTACCACGCAATATGATGTGGGACTGCAGAAAACAGCGGAAAAGTGTAAAGGTGAAGAAAATCACAATCATATCTGGACAAGCAGGCACAGGGCACCCATACTCAAGCAGAGAGGACCTCATGTCTCACAACACATTGAAATTGTGAACTGCACATCTGTGAATAGCACACATGTAGGACTTCTTTCTTTTGCTGCTTCTTTAATGACTACATTTCCTCTGTGTCATCTTTCATCACACGAATCTCTGATTTTTAGGGTCCTCCTGGCCCCCATGGAAATCCGGGTCGTCCTGGACTGCCTGGAATGAAGGTACATCTACATTTTAAATAGTAGTGACTGTCATGACTTATGCTAGAAGATTATTCATGTTAGTCTATCTAATAAAACAACATTAAAAGAGTAAGACTTTTTTATTTAATTCCTCTGCTCTGGGTGTCATGTTTCCATCCACCACATTGAACATTGGCACTGTTGTTTCATTTTTATACAAGCTACACTTTTGGCACCAACAATTACATTGTTAATAGCTAATAAACAATATTGGACTGAAATAGAAGGTTTTACAAAAAAATGATATTTACAACTATTGAAGTGTACCGTGCTATATTAGTCGGATGAGAAACTTGAGTGTTTTTGAGTATTTGGTGTGACCATCAGTTGGCCTTGCTAGCGCTGAATAAAGTATAATTATCCTTCGGCAAATCTGTAACGAGAACCCCTCAGGGATACAAGTACCGTACTTGCAGTCAGGCAGGATAGTATAATATAACTGAAATGAAATGAATGGCAAAACTTTTTATGTGGCATAAAACATTTCCTTCATTCTCCATATTCTAACTGAGGATATTTCTTTCTTTTTTTTCCTAGTCATCCAATGCTTGTTTGGGATTTTACTTAGTTTGCATGTCGGAGGTCAGATCCTTTTGGCTCCTTCTACCACTTTGAAAAGCCATTTGTTTCCCTTCAAAAGAGAACAGCAGTTTTAAGTTTCTCTGTCTCAATCATTTGCATGTACTTGACACCAGCCTGCTCTTCAGCTGATTTCAATTGTCAGCAGAGAGGGTTGCTTAGCTCCACAATATGTCAGGCTGCTATCATAAAAGGATCTCCTTGTTTGACTTTGTTGGAATAAAACGGAAATTGCCCATACTTCACGTCCGTACCTAATCCATTTGAATGCATCCAATTACAGCGTTTTCCAAAACTCATATCTTGGTTTGGCCTGCTATAACTGTGAGAAAAAAGTCCTATTATATTTTTGTTAGGTCTTATTTAGTAAATATGCGTTATCTGGAACAGAAAACCTGAGCTGGCTCATTTTGACTCATTTGCACATAACCGTCAAACTGCAGACTGTCTGATTTGGCCCCATTCGCTGCACTTAGAAAAACCGAGCCAGTCAAATGAAAGCACGCTATGCTGTTTTTTTTGTTTGTTTGTATATTTAGATGTAATTATGATAAATTGAATCAAAAATATTTTCACTTACTCGCTACTGTAAGTACCTGACCATTAGGCTTAAAAAATGAAAAGGAAGGAATAGAAAATGGATAAATCAGCAGAAGGTAAAAGTGCTTATTAAGGTCTTGAGCTTGCAGAAGTTATTAACTAATTCCACATCTTTTTCCAACCCTTAAACCCTTCAGATAATCTAGTTCAAGGAGAGTGAAAAGACAGTGTTTGTATATGCGTGTTGCTCCCTGCACTATAAAGAAATCAGTCTGGAGAAACTGCAAGAGGTTATTCAGTGCCAAGTGGTAACTGACACAAACATGCAAGTTTAAATGGGCCGATATGCTGTGAAGGGGCGAATTATCCAGTACAAAAATGAAAAGTGTTCTTTTAAAACTATGCATGACTTTCCATCTATGCTCATATGCTAATGTGCTGTTGCTATTTGCTATAAGAAGTTTACTTTCTTTGAAAACAGGCTTTGGTTGCAAGCTGCAATGTGCGTCATAAAAGAGGATGATTTATTTCCACACTTTCCACACTTGGAGTCAAATGTAATGTGTTACAGCATTTTCAATCACCTCTTTGATTATAGCTGTACCGTTTGGGTGCTTTATCACATCACCTGATTACCACTATGATAACCACTAACAAAGGAAATGCTATACTGTGCTTCCACTTGGACATGGTTGCACAAATTACATGGCAGTTCTTTCACTATTAAAATTGAACACTGAATGCTGACCCAGGCCGCACTGACAGGATTCCCACTGCCCGAAAAGGGAGAAGAATGTACACAGTCACTCCCCATTGCTTCTCTCTAGTTTGATGTAAACTGAGTCACAGGAGGGCATAAATGGACTGCACAGTTGCGTAAATACAACCACCAATAAGTTTAATGAACTTGTTACTCTTTGATTATATAAACCAAAAAATAAAATTCAAAGTTCTCTGCACCTTGTGAAGATCAGTGTTGAAATTTGTGCAATAAAAAGCTCTGGCAGACTAGAACATGTTGTACTCGTCATGAAAAATTAATGCTTTCTCTTTTTTATGTTCTAGGGACAAAAAGGAGATCCTGGACTGTCCCCTGGTCAACCCCCAAAAGGACAAAAAGTATACACATTATCACATTTCCTTCCTTAAATCTGTTGGATTATCCGCAGACATAGGCATGTAAATATGTCGATAAACTGAATGTGTCCTCATTTGCCATTTTAGGGAGAGTCTGGTGTCACGGGCCCCCCTGGGCTGCCTGGCCAAGACGGACGAAAGGTAAAACGGCTGCTTTGGCTCACAAACTGAAACTGTGTATGTATTTGTTTGTAAATCTGCCAGGAAGTAATTAATTGCCATCACAGTTTGCTGATTCTCTTCCATGAAAGTTCAAATTCTTGGTTTCTGTCCATTCTTTCTCCTTTCTGACAGTGTTTTCACACATAAATCAGACACATCAAGAATGAAGGACTGACTCAGTCCTGTATAACGAGGATCCGTAAATCAAATGAACGCCCTTTAGCTCTCTTGCCTTTGAAGGTGGAATCTGTCGGTCTGTGTGGGGCTTTCAGCCAAACATGAATGTTTGAGTTCTTGTTTGGAAAACAGCCTAACATAATGCAGAAGTCAAGGAGCACACCTGTGTTCTAGCTCCCCACTGGTTTGGAAAATGAAATATTTGAATACCAGGCCTGTTACATCATCTGTGTCGCAGGCCTAAAATATAATGAAGGCATCTGAGGGGAAAATAAAGATTGCCGGGTGAAAAGTTTTACATGGTTTCCTCGGTTGTTATGTCATTCACTCTGGAGAGCAGTACTTCTAAAAAAGTAGGACAACTTATGAATGTGGGTTAGCGCTGTGATCTGGTCTTGTTCGCAATCAGCATTATTTAACGTTCTTTGGATACCACTGCGCTGGGTTATCCTGACAGAGAGTGACGGTTAGCAGAGTGTTTTCTCAGTGGCCTTGTTCATTTTATCTTTGGCCTTTTCCCAAGCCCCTCACAGTAATTGCACATCTCAAGTGGTCTGGCACTTGTCTGGATTTCTTACTATGCACAGTGTACAAATAAAATGGTAAATCTGATCGTACTTTTGCATAGAATTTGTTTTACAATAATAGTTTTACATAACTGCAGCACTGTAGAAATGAAGCCTGTCTACGCGACTTCTAGCTAAGTCTTTTCATTGAGTTTCTTAATATTAAGAAAAACGTACAATGTCACTAGCCTCGCTCTTTAATGATTAAAGAGCCTGAAATCTTTGGAAATGTGTCAATGAGAAATGTTGATTAGGTTTGGAGGTTGTCCTTGCCAGGGTTTCACCTAATTCTTCATTCCTAACAACAGCAGCTAATGTTAGAAAAATGTTTACTTGCCTTCTGCAGCTATGGCTCATTCCAGTAACCAGCAGACCTCACAGACACTTCTTCCCTCTAATTTCCAAAGCTTCCTCCAGATTCAGTAAGAATAAATCTCAGAAACACTGTAGGACCCACAGACTGAAATCCAGATGTATTATATTCATATGGAATTTTTCAATGAGGCGACCTGCACTGCCTACTTAGCAGCAGTGAATCTAAATAAAGAATTGAATTAATATGGTGTTGAAATAGTTTGAAGTGTTTACAGGTTACACACTGCTTTCAGTCTGGATAAAATGAGACAGAAGAAAGGAAACTTGGCAGAGAGCGTTAGAGATGAGTTACCCGATGGGCTGCTGCAGCAGTAAACAAAGTCATAAAAGCTTATGGAAGAAAATCCACAGACAAAGCTTCTTTTAAATTGCACTTGACAGTATATGATCACACTGCTCCTCTTGTGGGCAGCTCTCAAATTTATACTCTGGTGAAGATAGAAAGAAGTAAAAGCTACATCGGTACAGTAAAAGGTCAGAGAAAGGTCAGGAATCGGATGCCTGAAGAATGCTAATTAAAAATGGCTGTTACACAATCTGAGAAACCCCTTATAAGCAACTTTTGTTCTCATTGAGACGCATGCACATACACACAGCCGTGTTCTCACTTGGGACCCAATAATATGAGTGCAATAATGCTTTGGCGGGAGCGCCAGCAGTTTGTTATGCAATCAGACAGGGCTGACTGTGAAAAACCATCTGGTGTGCTCAGTTTCCCTCAATTCAGTTTAGTAGTGGGGAAGGCTCCAACTGGAAAAAAAAGGAAGGCCGCTCCTCGTATTCTGAGTCATGGAACATGGAGTCATGGGAAAAGCTGATATTCTTTCAGCTGAGTTATGGTAATTGTGGATCTTTGGTAGGCTGAAAGCAGCATCCTTGCGGAGGTTAAATAGCTGTAACAGATCCTCTGTTCTTGTTCTGGTTATAAGGTCAGGTGAGATTCCGGTAACACAATTTCACGTTAAACTTAAAAGGCCCATGTCTGTGCAAGAAACTGCTGACAGCCCGAAAAAGTATTAAAATGCAGTTTGTATCCAGCTAATAAAAACAAAGCAATCAGCTTGGCTCCCCTGAAAGCCACGAGACACCTCATTGCTTGCAGCTGTTCTTGACTTAGACTTTTTTTTTGATTGTACTAAGTAAGGCAAAACTCCCTATAGTGCACTTTTGTATTACAATTACGCTGAAATTCCATCACCTGCCTCTGATGAACCTCGAGGGTTGTTCCTTTGTCTGTCTAACCAGCCTGCAAAGCTATGACCTGTCACCGCTTCATGGACGGTTTTCGCTGAGTTTTCTTCTCAGTCCCTTGGCTTTCTGCCAGAAACAGCCTTTCTCGCTGTGGGAAATGTGTAAAGATGTAATGGGAAGGTTGCCTGGGAGTCAATCAGTGGTTTGCGCTGTAAAATAAGAAGAGACTCATGCATGTGTGTGTCAAACCAAAACTCTGCAAAGAGTACTACCGGTTCTGAACCTGTGTTCCATTTACACAGCTAGCTCTGATGATGGCACACTGCAACAACACTCAAACTTTTTATTAGGTGTGCACCCCTCCACATTTTTTACTTCCTGCTCTGCAGCTCCGTATAAAAATATTCTCTTACCTTTATTTGCTGATTTGTCCAAGAAAGAAGCCCAAGGCTTGCCAGGTGGGATTAGGTTTTTTGTTATAATAAAATTAAAAATCTATGGAAAGAACAATGTATTTTTTGTCTGCCAAGTACAATCTGTTACTTATTCTTCACGCAGCGGAGACGGTGCTGCTGCTTCGCTTCGCCTGTTGGCTGTAGGGTTGATCTGGTGTGAGTTACACTAATTAAAACTGTTTGCTCTTCATGAACAAGAAGAACTAATGAAGATAATGATACCTTGCCATCTTTTTTTCTCGCACAATGGATTCTGCCATTTTGTGTCACACAATGGATTTACAGAGCCGTGAAAGTGGTCCAATTTTTGTTTAGCCCACATACGACACGCATGCACAGATTTCTTTTCCCTATTTTTACTGTACTCGGCTGTATTGGCTGTGCTGGAAAGCCCAGACACATTCTTTTGTTCTTTTGTGGCTGCATTGATTTGGCTCCAGCAGGAGACTCATCTACCCTCGAAAATCCTATCAATTATTTCCATCTCTCAGCACTGTGTGGCTTGTCTGCAGATAAATAGACAAATAATCAGGAGTTTCACAAAACGTGAATATAACAGTGTCTGAGAGAATTACTGTGGCCGATCGGCTGACATCTGGCTTTGATCTGTGCAGAAAATATGAATCTCAGAAAGACAGTTGTCCTTGAAAGCGTGCCTATTTCTTTGTGAGGACCTTTTGAACTAAGACACAATCACAGAGTGTTGGTAAAAGTCAGCTCATGAATGTTCATGAACCAAACTTCAATGAATGCATTACTTTGTCTGCTTGTTTAAAGGATGAGTTCTTACGCCACGATGACATAATAAACTTTAGTTTTGTTTAATTGGTTTGTGGGATAGCTCACATTTCTAAGATCTTGCACAAGGCTTTTCTTATTTTTTTTTTTTCATTTTTTATCAGTTCAAGATGTCAACCTGCCAGCCAGATTTTACTTATCGGCTCTGTGGCTGTCAGTCTCAATCTTTCTCAGACTTTCAACCCAGACTCATGCTGTCCATTAATACTTACTATCTTTGGACAGCCAATCATTACGGAAAAAAACAACAGCCAACCAAACAAATAATTAAAAAAAAAACACACTTTACTTTAAATTCTAATGAAGACTCTTTCTCCAAAAACACAGAAGACAGCAGAAAACAGAATGTCAGCACAAAAAAGTCAAATTACAACTTTAAAATGTGCCCAGCTGCATTATTTTTTTATCGAGTGGCATTTTCCTTCACCGAGCCAGCATGAACTAAGTAAAGAAACCTTTAAAGTTGACCCTTTACATCGATACTACCATATACCTCAGAGGATGTTTGTGTAAGGAGAATTTTGATGTCCCTTTTTACACTCTGGTGTTTGGTTCGGGAGTGCTTTGCATTGATCTCTTGATGTCGACTTTATTTACTGTACACACAGTTACTAATTTTTTCAGCCTCTGTCTGACTGTGGTTTATTTGTGCTGCTGCTGTCAGGCCAAAACAGCTTGTGGCTAATGACTTTACACTTCAGATAATCAACTTTTTCTCCCCCCAGAGATGACTTCATGTCTTTATTTATTGCCGCAGATCTTGACTGTGAAAAGATTAATACATTTTGTAGCCAGCTGGCAAGCTCATTTGAGATCACAGGGCATGAAGGTGACCATTAATTACCCTTTTGGGTTTTACGCATTACTGCCTAATTGGTTTATTGGTTTAATTAATGCAAGATGATACTGAATTGTTTTGTCAGGGTGCGGCGGTGGCAATGATTAGACTAACCCAAAGCCAAGTAGCTGTGCCACAACAATAAATAAAATGTCATTGTTCTTGTGTAGAAATGGTAAAGAAATGCCTTATTCAGGGTTCACCAGGCAGTACCGCTGATAAGTGGTTTATTAGTTTCACATTTATTACGTTTGCTTGTGCTGTGGAGCCTTTTAAGCTAAGCCTTCCAGGTTTTTATGAAGTCATTTTATTGAACTTTTTTATAGGAAAACAAAGTCAAATTTTCTCTAAGGCAGCTGGAAACTACTAGCATAATTTAAACCCCTGCAATCTTAACTGAGGCACTCTTGAATGCAAGGTGATAAAAAGAAAAGAAAAAATTAATTGAATTTGACGAGTGACCATTTAACTTTTTTCCCTTCCAAGATAAACAGTCTTTTTGCTCCAAGGCACTTAACACTGAACTTCCTTGTGGAATTGTGACTGGAATATTATATGGCACAATCATTTTACTTAGTATTAATTATTAGTATTAACTTTTAACTTGTTGCTTTTTTTGTGTTTTTTTGTCAACAGGGACAAAAAGGATATCCTGGTCCTGCTGGTCTCCCGGGTGAACCTGTGAGTATTTTTTACAGGAGCATGGTAACAGTTTAATGTCATGTACTGAGAAAAGGTTCGGTTTTCTTAGCCTTCACACAGTGTTTACATGGAGGAGCCCGTTTGATCCTTCAGAATGAAACAGGCGCCTCGTTTGATCATAGTGTCAATATCCAAATAAAGGAGATTGTGTCTGTTATTGTGATGTGAAAAAAGAAAGATTTTCACAGGACAGCATAGCATCCTGTGAAAAACTAAATACAAACCATGACCCAGTAGCCTGTAGAAGCACCTTTAGCTGCAATATTTTGAAGCAATGATCTTCTATATCACTTAATCAGTCACTTATTTTCTTGTGGAGGAATTTTGGCCAAGCTTGGCTGTCAGATAGCTGTCTCAGTTTTGACTCATGAATGTTTTGGTATACAGAGGAGCTCATAGTTGACTTAAACACTGCAAAGCGCCCAGGTCCTGTGGCTGTAAAACAGAACCAAACCATTACTCCTCCTCCACTATGTTTGACAGCTGGGGTGAGGCATTTGTGCTTTTACTGTGTTTGATTTTCACCATATATGACGCTCTGGATTGACACATCTCCACTTTGGTTTCATCTGCCTAAAAGTCTTTGTTCTAGACGTCTTGATTTAGATTTGACATTGTATTTTTGTGATCATTTATATCACTTTTATAAAAAATATGCTTTTATTAAAATATATAATTTTCTAGTAGGGATGTACTGTACTTATTTTTTTTATAGAGGTCCATAGAGCCTGTTAAAGGGAGACACAGAGGCTTAACCTATTAACTTAGTACTGGTTTAAATTCAAAGTCCATTTTTTTCAAATATTGATTTTAGTTAAACTGATATATAAATATTTTTCAGAGCCTAGTCCGTTTACTTTTATACTTGTGACATTTATCATAGCATTTCTATAATATATTTTTTGTCATGTATAATATAAAAAATGTTTCTGTCTGATGGCTGCAGCGTGTGTTAGCTGTTTGTCACAGTCTGTTTACTTACCAAGTAAAAGAGCCAAGAGTTTACAGAGACAGTTCCCATAACGCTTAAGCATTTCTTTCCATTTATAGTAACAAAACAGGAGAAAAGGAGAGTGACAGAGGAAAAATACTAGTAAAAGAGGCACACCCGGGTTCATTAAAAAAAAAAAAAATAGCAGTGATTATGTCTTTACACATGGTGACTAGAGATGTTAGATATTAGTCATTTGGGAATCTTGGCGGGAAAATAGTGGGAGTTTTTTGGCAGAGGTGCAAGTAGGCTAAATAGTTTGAAGACTCTAGATCATTCCCCTCCCTAGTCCTTTTTCCATCTTCATGAATCTAAAACCTGTGAAATATCTCTTAGAAGATTGCATCGTGTCACAATAAAGGAGAAAAAGGTTTAAAGTTCATTTTTCTTCAAGCACTTTTTTCGGATAATGTAAACTGTGTCAAACGTTAAGCTGATAGTGAAATAGTTAACTATATATTTTTCTTAAAACACTTATAAATGATATGTTTTCATAAATGCAACACGTGAATGTGTTTACATGCATATTTTTATTAGCTAGAAACTGCTTATTGACTTATTACTTCCACCTGGAGGTTAACTAAGTGTGGACAATGGGAAGAGTGAGGATTGTAAGAACGAAATATTTTTTTATGTATTGCCCTCTGGAGTTAAGAATGTGTGTAACATCACTTCTATGGCTGTGTACATGTGCTGTGTGTGTGTGTGTGTGCTGGTGCAATATTTGTAAATAAATTGTAATTAAATATGCCATTTGATAAAGCTTAGTAATTGTGGAAAAATGTCTTGCTCTTCCTTAGCTCAACACTTAATATTTTATCTTAACCCTCTGTTGTGCAATATTTCTTACTTACCAATGGTGTCTGCTTTTGCACCTGCACAGTCTAATGCAAACCAATTAACGGTTATGCTTTAAAGGGCACCTTTTGAATCTCTGTAATGCACTTTTTGCAGTTTCTGCCATCGAGGAGTTAATTATAGCTTTAGCTCTGATGTTCTGGTTAGTGGTGGCATTTTACTGGACTGCAGTATATTCTAGAGTGTATGTAATATTAAGGGGGGCTGCAACAATGACTGCTGTTTCTCTGATTATGGTTTTTAATGACATTATCCTTCTAGCCTGTCTTAACATATTAATCCAGTTTTCCCAGGAATCTGAAAATACAGAAACCTCAGTTTTAAATGAATATAGTGTATGAAGGGCCTGTAATTTGCATTCCTTCATTAAGTAATTTAGTAATTTTCTTTTCCCATATTTACAGAATTAAATGTTACTCTCTGATTGATGCATTTCATTTGGTCTCACCACAATGAAGGGATGACGCATGCATTATACAGTGTGTCGATAAGGATAAACATACCAATGCAGAGCTGTGCTCACAGTAGTCTTAACAGCATGCAAGCTTGACCACATTATAAAAGCACTTACTGTTGGATTAATTGAGTGGTTAGAGTGGCAATGTCTGTAGTGGCGCCTCTTTCCTTAGGCAACTCGACTAAACAATAGGACTCTATTGAAAAGCTTGGAGGTTTTGAATTCCTCTATAGGACCAACTGACTGTTGTTTATTACGGCATAAATATGTCTGCTTACAGTTTTAATTACTCTGTTTCCTAAGTTTCTAGGACTGCAATCAGCGAGGCTGCAGCAGAAATCATTTGTGCACAAAAGAGGCCCTTATTCTAGGAATATTTCCTTTCCTCATCCTCTTTTCCTTCCTTTTCCTGCTTTTTAGTCTCTCGCATTCTTCTAGCACGTATTTCTCTACTGTCTCTGTCTCCACAGGGTGAGCGAGGAGATGATGGAAGCCCTGGGGCAAAAGGCTATCCTGGCAGGCAGGTGCAGTAAATCTAGAGTTGTGGCACTGGTTGAGCAGGGATACACACACACACACACACACACACACACACACACACACACACACACACACACACA